GCTCTGGAGTACATAAGCAATCTAAATGAGAGTGCAAGAATCTGACCCAATATTAGACCGAATGTCAAGGATATTCTAGTTGTAAATCTAAATCTGCCTAATCAACTGTCCCTTTCTCTCAAAAGGTTTATAAGCAAAAACACCCACAGGCATATTTGCCTTTTCCCTTATGCTATTTTCTGTTTGCTAAGGAGCTCATTTCCCTTTCCTAAAACAAATTTGGAGGTAAAAGATTTGTTAAGCCAAAGAATTAAGGGCACGAGCCTGTGTTTGTCTAATGACAGTAAACCACCAGGAGCTGACAGCGATGACATGCAATCCCTTGACCTACTCTGCATCATCTTTCTTTTTTTCCCTGCCCCTGCAGCTCTGGGTGACTCAGGAGCTCTTCTGCTGGTGACAGAAAGCTCTGTGCTCAGACTGCCAGCCCCCGTGGGTACAGCCATGTAGCAAACTTCCAACTCACCTTCTCCTTAGCTGGGGTTCAGGAGTATGTTATTCCATGAATAAACGCAAGTTTGCCTTACAGCAGAGAGGAGGAAAGAAAAGAGAGGGGAATACCTATAACATCACTTAAAAGGACACCGTGGGAACGAAGGTTGCCACTGTCAGCACAGGTCCCTGTGTAACTCTCTTGCCTTTGCATACGGCTTGGCTTCTCTCAGCACCCCAGAGAAACTGGACAAAACAAAGCTCAAAATGGGGAAACAGTGGAAACTCTTTGTCTCTAATAAGAAATCAATGAAACATTTTTACAAGCTGTAATTGAATATGAAAGTTTTCTTTTGTCCTTCATGTAGGTACTCGATAGATCGAAACACAGACCTGGAGAGGTATTTCAATATTGATGCCAATAGTGGAGTCATTACAACTGCCAAATCTTTGGACAGGGAAACTAATGCTGTTCATAATATCACGGTTTTGGCTATGGAGAGTCGTAAGTAACAATTTAAAGATTTTATTGGTTGTTTATGTGTAAAACTTCAGGCTTGGTGTGATCAGTTGCACTGAAAGTAATTATGACCATTTCAAATGATGGCGGATAAAAATAACTTCTAACTCAATGTGAAAGAAACTTATGTGATAAAAATCAAGAAATACAACAGAATAAGTATTTGCTCTTTCCTTTGCCTCACATCTTGTGTAGTCTTCTGACTTCTGAAAAACAAGTACAAAGGAAGATGAACTATGTTAAGTCAGCAGTCTCAGATCAAGTACCATTAGATGAAAAGTGATATAGAGTACAGAGGAGAGCAGTTAGCCCATTTTAGTGATCACACTCACTTAGAATTGATTGCTGTTGGTCAACCACAGCATTGTTAAAAGGTATGAAGGAAAAAGGATGTAAATGCTTGTGTGGTTTCACTTTCTTGACACTAAGGTAAGACTGTAAACAATAATTTGTACTGGGTATCTTTTCTGGTGTAAGACAAAAAGTGTTAAAGAATCAAACTCTTCAAGCATGTGCAACAAGAATTCTGTTAATGCAAGTTTAAACCTAAACTTATTCAGCTCTGAATGTGTTCTATGAAAAACTATATATTTTTGCCTTTATATTTTAAGAATTTATTTCTTAAAAATTCATCCTTATTACTACTCTGTTGGGCTGTGATAATAAAAGAGTTATCAGTTCTCTGACCCACTATTTTAAAAATCCTGACTTCTTGCTTTCAGTGAGGTTAATTTAATGTTTAACCTGAAAGCTAACATTTATCATTTAGTGTCTGTATGAATTTATGTTCTATTCTCAGGAGTAGAATTTTGTTCTAGGATGCCAGCATGAAAACCAAAAATTTTCCTGGGTAGTAACAAAACCAACAAAGTAGCCAAGGGGCATACCTGACACAAGCGAGAGTCCAAGAGCACAAGTAATGCCTTACAATGCTTTAATTTATGTTCATAGCCTGCTTGGTTTTCAATAAGCTTAGATCAGCAGAGGAAAAAGTTGGTGTCAAAATTGCTTACTCCTCTAATATTTCACATGTGGAATAAGAACCCCAAACCAAAACACTTTGTTATCTACATTTGGATTCATTGCTTTAAATACTTATAATATTTACAAAAATGTGGTTGCAATACCCTATAAAAAGATAGATACATATTTCAAAGTTTGTACAGTTTTTGATTCTGCCCTGATCTATCATTAATATCACCACTTGTAGTGGAAAAAAAAAATGCAATCTCTCTTTTCCCTGCTCGAAAACAGAAGTGTTATCTAGCAAAATAAGTATAGCACACACTGATGTCCTTTATGCTTAGTCCAAAAATATCTACTGATTAAGATTAAATTATGACATTGGACACTGCACAGATTCACATTTTAGCTGGAGTTGTACATCAGTTTAAGAATGGAATTCATGTTTAAGGTGTTCAACATGTTAGTAACAGTGTTGAAATATTTAGTTGTGTGTGCACTTTAAATACTTTGGGATTTGCTTGGGGATATAGCTTCCTCTTTTTTCTGTTATACATAGCTGACAGAATTCTGTTTTAAACTTCTTAATAGTCTGATCTATCTGAATTACAACAAAAATTTATTTAGCCTATTATAACCATGCTATTCCCCATATGGATAGTGCTGTTCTGGCTAGCAATACACCCTGGCGATGGTTTTACATCATCTTGCTCTTATCCTTCCATATGATGTGATTCAATGCTATGATTAGAGAGTTAGATTTTCAGGTTATCCCTGAGAGTAAAATCTTAGTTTAATTGAAGTGGCTGGAAAACATAAACATTGTTTCCACTAGGTCCAGAAGAAGATCAAGCCAAGAGCTTCCTTTTTCTTTGTAGGAGGGATTGTAATTGATTTGATATGTATATGCAAAAGAAGAATGCAAATGAAAAATGTACTGACCCGAAGAATAATTTGTAAGGAGCTCTTCTTGATTGTTTTGTTGACTGCTTTTCCTGTAGAGAATCCAGCACAGATTGGGAGAGGCTACGTAGCCATCACTATCCTTGACATCAATGACAATGCCCCTGAGTTTGCTATGGAGTATGAGACAACTGTCTGTGAAAATGCTCAACCTGGTCAGGTATGGCTTAATAGTTTTTTTATGTTTATTTTTATCAGATAGGCAGCCATTGCTTATGAAAATCTGCCAGATTTAAGATAAAATGTAGTCAGTTTATGGCAGTAAAAAAATGCTTTGATGTGCAGCACGAGCAAATACTAATGAAACCCTAACATCTTCTCTGTACCTCTGAAGAGAAAGACTAAGGTGTAAACATTACTCTTTGAAGGTACTGTTAAAATCTCTGGCTTTCTTACCAATGTAACTGACACATTTTGCTAAATTCACCTAATTTTGAATAATATTAAGAAAGTATACTTCCTCCTAATTTTGCTGGGAAGTGGGAAGTCATATCATGGAGGTTATTCTGAGACTAAAGGCCTACCATTCCTACAATGGGTACACACTTTTATTTCCCTTAGGAAGTATGGGCCATAAGGCCACAATTTCACAAAACAGATGTATTTCTACCATATTCCCCAGTGTTTTTTAACTCTCCAAAAGTCTTCCAAGTAGTTCTAGACTCAAATAAAAGTGTCTGGTATTGTTTATAGAATCATAGAAAGGTTTGGGCTGGAAGGCACTTGATCAGCTACTTCCAAGCCCCCTGCCATGGGCAGGGACACCCTCCACTAGACCACGTTGCCCAAAGCCCCATCCAACCTGGCCTTGAACACTTCCAGGGATGGGGCATCCACAGCTTCTCCGGGCATCCTGTTCCAGTGCCTCACCACCCTCACAGTAAAGAATTTCTTCGTATCTAATCTAAATCTGCTCTCCTTCAGTTTAAAGCCATTACTCCTTGACCTGTCACTACACTCCCTGACAAACAGTCCCTCACCATCTTTCCTGTAGGCCCCTTCAGGTACTGGAACGCCGCAATTAGATCTCCTCAGAGCCTTCTCTTCTCCAGGCTGAACAATCCCAACTCTCTCAGGCTGTCCTCATAGCAGAGGTGCTCCAGCCCTCTGATCATCTTCATGACCCTTGTCTGGACCCACTCCAACAGCTCCATGCCCTTATGTTGGGGGCCCCAGAGCTGGATGCAATACTGCATGTGTAGTCTCACGAGAGTGGAGTAGAGGGGCAGGATCACCTCCCTCGACCTGCTGGTGGTCACGCTTCTTTTGATGCAGCCCAGGACACGGTTGGCTTTCTGGGCTGCAAGCGCACAGTGCCGGCTCATGTTGAACTTCTCGCCCATCAACACCCCCAAGTCCTTCTCCTCAGGGCTGCTCTCACTCCATTCTCTGCCCAGCCTGTAGTTGTGCTTGGGATTGCCCTGACTGATGTGCAGGCCCTTGCACTTAGCCTTGTTGAACTTCATGCAGTTCGCATGGGCCCACCTCTCCAGCCTGTCAAGGTCCCTCTGGAGGGCATCCCTTCCCTCCAGTGTGTTGACCACACCACACAGCTTGGTGTCATCAGCAAACTTGCTGCAGGTACACTCGATCCCACTGTCTGTGTCACCGACAAAGATGTTAAACAGTGCCGGTCCCAGTACCGACCCCTGAGGAATGCCACTCATCACTGTTCTCTACTTGGACATTAAGCCATTGACCACAACTTCTTGAGTGTGACCGTCCAGCCAATTCTTTATCCACCAAGTGGTCCATCCATCAAATCCATGTCTCTCCAATGACAAGAATGTCATGCAGGACAGTGTCAAATACTTTGCACAAGTCCAAGTAGATGATGTCAGTTGCCCTTCCCTTGTCCACCAACACTGTAACCCCATCATAGAAGGCCACCAAATTTGTCAGGCATGATTTGCCCTTAGTGAAGCCGTGTTGGCTGTCACCAATCACCTCCTTATTTTCCATGTGCCTGAGCATAGTTTCCAAGAGGATCAGTTCCATGATCTTGCTTGACACAGAAGTGAGACTGAACGGCCAGTGGTTCCCTGAGTCTTCCTTTTTTCCCTTTTTAAAAATGAGGGTTATGTTTCCCCTTTTCCAGTCAATGGGAACTTCACCGGACTGCCATGACTTCTCAAATATGATGGAGAGTGGCTTAGTCCCTCAAGACCCGCGGATGCATTTCATCAGGTCTCATGGCCTTGTGCACCTTCAGATTTCTTAGATATTCTCAAACCTGACCTTATTATTGGTGTCTCTCACATTTGGACTTTTCCTCTCCACTTTGTAAGATCTCAGAAAATAAATATATTTTCTTATTTTCTCTTCTCTCTCCCAGAAAACTAGTAGATGTTTCACCTACATAGATGCAATGTATTCTCTGGGGGAGGTGTGCACTTTTGTGCCTTCTCCGAGAATATTGTCCTTCCTGTGGCAGATGTTGTTTATTGCACATTTCAAAATCACAGCATAATTTAAATGCTTAACAGACAACACTATGATTATTAGCTTGTGTTCATGAGAAACACAGAATATGCATGCTGTTATTGGAGTACCTGTTTGTTTTCCCTGTGATCTAGTCAGAACTGTTAGCTCTGACTGTTCGTTCTTTACAGATCTTAAGCAATGGTGACACATTTTTTAAGAGAAAGATTTTGACAGAATTTTTTGAAAATAGAATTTTAATAATAATAATAATAGTTATCCATAAAATATCAATATACTGATAACTTGGCTTTTTCTTTTTCATGATATTAAAAAAAGAGTAAATGAAATAAAATGCACAAATGCATAATCTTCTCATTGTGAAAGTTTACAACTTTGATTGCAGACAGTGATAACTACATTAAGGCCATCCAGAAGATACACTTTATGCAATTTATAGTCCAAGCCCTGGTGAATGGCAGGACCTAACATTCTCGCAGGACCTAACTTTCTCACAGGCCCTGCAGATCATTGCAGATATTTTGGCCAGTAAAGTTGGTACAGGGAAATGAAAGAATCAAGTCACATTTTGGTTTTAATAGCATCTGTACATGCTGAGGAGATTACAAAACCAAAATGCAATATGAGCAGGACTCAAGAGAGGGTTGATACTTTGATGTATACAATGTACATGTATTTATGCTTCTTCCCATTACAAACAATGAAGCCTCCATGTATCTCAAACCAGGTCATCCAGAAAATCAGTGCAATTGATAAAGATGACCCACCAAATGGCCATCAGTTCTACTTCAGTTTAACAGCAGAGGCAGCAAATAACCACAATTTTACACTGCAGGACAACAAAGGTAAGGACATTTTGTTTGGGTAAATATTTACCACTAAAAACTTTCATTTTTAATATATACGTAAACTTCTATTCTGGTAAGAACATAAATTAAAGTACAATCAGCCTGCAAATAATTTTATCCGTAGATTATTTGTCAAGGGAATCAAACTGTTGTTTCATTGGAATGTTGAATCATTTAAAGCCTTGAGCCAAACAAAGCAGCTTCAAATCTTTCCTTTCTTTTTTTTTTTTTTCCCAGAAGTCACTTTTCTAACATTTTTTTCCTTGTATTTATAGGTTTTTATCTAAATTAGATTTTACCTTGGGGCAGTGACTGAAAAATGTCCAGGAATTCATGTTTTATTAATATAACTCAGTGCATAAAATATGAGTGCACAGTAAATTGAGCGGTTTTGGGGTTTTTTTTTAGAAAAACACATCTTTTCAGTAAGTGTACCACCTACTGAAGAATGCTTTTGTTAATGGAAGCTGCCTACAATATTTGCACAGGCTTCTTATGACTATTTCCCCAAAGACTTATGCAAAGACTGCCATTGACATCACGTTTCTATTAGTTAAAATATCTGAGAACATGCTTCTAATTAGTGTTCTCATTAGTTGCACTGCATAGTATGGCAGCTGGGCATGTATCAGTCAGTTTAGCTATTAGCTGAAGCAAATAGAACTAAATAGACACTCTGTTACTCTTGCATTGCTCTTTTATGGATCAATACTAAACCAGAGCTACAAAGTCATCCTTATTAATAAAATAAGGAAAACCAGACATATGGTGGACTAAAGGACATGATTTGTACAGACAGACTTTGAACAACATTCATGTGACCTAATACAGTTCTCTCACACAGCTATTTATCGCCTTACCCTGCATGTAGTTACTGACACGCTTAATTTTCTTCATATGAGTATCTTACAGTTCAAAATGAAAGACTAATAGTAATAATGATCAAAATAATAAAAACACACTAGAATAAGACTCTATTCAGAAATCTGACATTGTTACAAGTACTGTAAAGTATTTAATGAAAAGACAGGCCTTATTCCAAAGAACTTATAATTTGGAAAAAGTATTAAAAGACTGTTGCAATTCCGGTAAAATCAATGGAGTTACAAGACACAGCAGCAGTTGCCTCTTTTGGTGTTACTTAATTTTATGCATATCTCATATGATGCTATATCAAGAAGTGCTTGTATACTTTGCCAGAGAGGTCATAACAGATGACACAATAAGATAACTTTACAGGACTATCAATATATCTGTCTATAAATAGCTAGATAAGTAGATAGATAGACAGACCGACCGACCGACCTTTTCTATACATTCTAGGAGATGTAACTCCCTACCTCTCAGGAGCTGTGAACCTGTATTGAACACAGTGAGTTTTGCACATATTTTCTGGAATATGTGGAGTTTATAATCACCCAGCTCAGAGCAGCATCGAAGCACACATTTTAGACTGATTATGTTAGTCATCTTGTTGACTCTCAGCTGAGACTGAAAACAAGTGCATGCCTTTACGTGTGCAATTACCTACATGTGTGCAACAACTGGATATTTTTGCATTCAGAAAAATATTTCATTGGTCTTCAGAACTTATTTTTCTACTAATGTGTTCATCCCTTCCATTGATATGATAGCTATACCTGTAAATAGTTGAAATTTTGCTCCCTCGACCAGGGAGCAATGGTATCCAACTGGCAGAAAACCATGGTCTCTCTAAGCTCTGCACCTGCCACGGCCGACACAGCTTCCCAGACAGAGCTCTGCTGGGAAGGTGCTGCTGCCCAGGTGTCAGGCTGCAGGGTGTGCACTACTCTTAAGCCAGTACCAGATGGTAGTAGTGAGCACACCTGTGGGAGGTATGCTCACCCAGGTAGAGGAACTCCTCCACTTAGTAACAGAGCTCCAGAAGGAGTTGACTAGCTTGAGGAGTATCAGGGAGGCCGAGAGAGATATAGACTACTGGAATTGCACCGCACCTCCCCTGGGACAGGCCCAACAGGCAGACAGGATACATGATATGGAGGATTCCTTGTCCTGTCTTCTCCACCTGTCTGAATGTGGTGACTTAAGAGATAGCAGGCAATGGCAACAAGCTGCTGCCCAGCACAGCAGGTGTCTCCTCTCTGACTACCCCACCTTCGCAGGTGCCCTTGCATAGTAGGTATGAGGCTCTGCAAGTTGAACTGAACAATAACAAGGACGATGGTTCATCTAGCTTGGAGGTGTCACCAAATTTAAGATGGCCTGCGCCCTGCATCAAAACTGCTTCCATAAAGAAAAAAAGACAGGTCGTTGTCATAGGAGACTCCCTTCTGAAGGGAACAGAAGGCCCAATATGCAGACCAGACCCAGGGAGGGCCAGGGTTAAAGATCTGAAGAGAAACTTTTCTACCCTGGTATAGCCCTCAGATTATTATCCATTATTGTTTTTTCACATAGGCAATGATGAAGTTGCAACAAGAAGGCCAAGGGCAATCAAAAGAGATGTCAGGGCCTTGGGATGACTGGTTAAGGGATCTGGAGCACAAGTAGTGTTCTCTTCTATCCTTCCAGTTGTAGGTAATGATGAGGGAAGCAACAGGAACAGCCAACAGATTAATACTTGGGTCAGGGATCTGGATGAGGGGGATTGAGTACACCTTCAGTAAATTTGCAGAAAACACCAATCTGGGCAGAAGTGTTGATCTGCTTGAGGGTAGGAAGGCTTTACAGAGGGATCTAGACAGGCTGGATCAATGGGCTGAGGCCATTTGTATGAGGTTCAACAACGCTAGTGCCGGGTCCTGCACTTGGGTCACAACAGCCCCATGCAATGCTACAGGCTTGGGGAAGAGTGACTGGAAAGCTGCCTGGTGGAAAAGGACATGGGGGTGTTGATCAACAGCCAACTAAATATGAGTGTGCCCAGGTGGCCAAGAAGGCCAACTGCATCCTAGCTTGTATCAGAAACAGCGTGGCCAACAGGACAAGGGAAGTGATCTTCTCCTTGTACGTCGCAGCTTGAGTACTGTGTTCAGTTTTGGGCCCCTCACTACAAGAAGGACATTGAGGTGCTGGAGCATGTCTAGAAGGGCAATAAAGCTGGTGATGGGTCTAGAGAACAGGTCTTATGAAGAGCGGCTAAGGGAACTGGGGTTGTTTAGTCTGGAGGAAAGGAGTCTGAGGGGAGACCTTATCACTGTCTACAACGACCTGAAAGGAGGTTGTAGCCGGGCAAGTGTTGGTCTCTTACCAAGTAACAAGTGATAAGATGAGAGGAAATGGCCTCAAGTTGCACCAAGGGAGTTTTAGATTTTATATTAGGAATATTTTTTTTTTTCTTTGAAGGGTAGTCAAGCATTGGAACAGGCTTCCCAGGGAAGTGGTTGAGTCACCACCCCTGGGGGTATTTAAAAGACATGTAAACGTGGTAGTTAGGGACATGGTTTAGTGGTGGACTTGGCAGTGTTAGGCTTGCAGTTGGACTTGGTGATCTTAAAGGTCTTTTGCAACCTAAATGATTCTATGATTCTATGATTCTAAATAGATCCTTGGAAATTAGACCTGAAATAGATATATAGACAGTCTAATCACTGAAGGTTGAATTTTTTCTTTTTTATAATTATCTTATCTTCAACTATCGATCATGAGTATGGAACTATGAGCTTAACTAAAACCAAATAGAACTCTGCAATTTTGAAACAGTCTTTTGTGGAAAATCGAAATTTTTTTGTTCAGTTGAATATAATTTCTCAGTTGATCCTATCTCTGCAGGTTGAAAAATATATGACCAGGCAAGATAAACTTGTTTAAACAATATAAATGTGTTTATAAAGTCTTTTAAGTGAAGTACTGTATTATTTATAGTCTTGTGTTTTATAAAGGTCATGTATTTTATATTTATCTTTTTATTCCTTTATCTAGATAACACTGCCACAGTATTAACCAGAAGAAATGGGTTCCGAAGACAGGAACAGTCTGTTTTCTACTTGCCAATATTCATTGTGGACAGTGGATCACCTTCACTTAGTAGCACCAATACCCTCACCATCAGAGTCTGTGATTGTGATGCAGATGGTATTGCTCAGACGTGCAATGCAGAAGCGTATATTTTGCCTGCAGGACTTAGCACTGGAGCCCTGATAGCAATCTTGGCTTGTGTCTTGACACTGCTAGGTACGTCTTCTTCCTGTTACCATTCTTTTCTGTTCAATGTATAGTAGCAAAAGATATATATATATATTTATATATGTATATAAGCTTCAACTGCTGATTTCTTTAAACAAGGACACCTAACATTCCAGGCAGAACAGCATTTTGTATCAAGACCTACACAAAACCTTTAGTTTGGGATTTTGTTTCTATGTCAAGCTGCCTCCAGAGGTATATATGAAATAATAGTAAAGGGAAAAAAGATCACTTGCATAAGAAGTAATATTTTAGAAAGAGACAATGCAGTTTATGGAAGTATTTGGTTTAACACACTCACTGTATAACCAGTATCACTGTGTGTCTCTTTTTCAGAGATATAACTCTTTTTAAACATTTCTTGATTTGCAGAGAACAAAAGACATTCAGAAAATACAACAGATGTAATTTACTAATGGGAATCATCATATTTAATTGAACATCTTCTACAGAATGATCTTTTTTTTACTTCTGCAACTGGTAGCACAGTAGAATTTTATGTTATGCAGTGAAACTGCAACTGGATAAAAGATGGTGGAAAACAGTGAAACAGTGTCAACATCCTAGTTCGCTTAGCATTTCTCATTTCATGCCTAGTCCTTAAACAAAATGACTACATGGTGGTAGTAAAGGCCCAAATCAAGGAGTAAAGATGAAGCACCATCCTGCATCTGCAGATGAGCAAAAGTGCAGCCTTGCTTATTGTCAGAAAAATCATGTTAACGAGTGTACCAATTCAGCATGCAAGAATTTTCTTGAGTGTTGTTATTAATGGAGATATTTTTTTATTGCCTGGCTTTACATCTCAGTCTAAGGGAAAGGGGAAGACCATAGTCTCCTCAGGTTGGTGTAATCCCACTAGTGATTTATCTGTCACTGTTATCTAAGTAATTTGAACAGGTCAAATCAAGAGACTTTTGGCCACACTTCTGTTCATGGCAGTATTTCAACAATGTGTAGATTTCTCTTCTTACTGACTTTGATGCACTTCACTGTAAACCATTAGAAGAAAATGTCCCTTCTGCTACAAACATTTCTAAAGGACTCAAAAAAGGAAATCCTCTTGCATTGCTGTTATAGAGTAAGAAAAATCACTACCTCTGCAATGAACCTAACCAACTTACTCAGTAGCTATGTATAGGTGGTGGCATTTCCAGAGTTTTCAATCTTTGTGACAAAAAAACCTAACAAGATTGTTTAAAATCATTCAACATATGGATAGACATAGGTTTAAGGAGAAATGGAAGTGAATGATTGCCAAAAATTGTAATGAACATTTTTAAAATACTGTTTTTCTAGCAGCATTTCTAGGCCATTTATACACCCAAATGAAATTTATTTGGACATGAAGCTAAATGATGGAGTTCAAAAAGATACAGAATGATAGGTCCTTCTCTCATATCAATTGACATTGATATCAGTGGACAACCACCCATTTAAAACTTTGGTCTTAACTTTACTTAAGAAGAAAAGTTCTGTAACGACAGCAATTTATTTCATCCCAAATTGAAATGTCACCATTTCTATTTTATATAAAAAGGGAGTTTCTGAAAAATACATAAGAAAAAACTTTTGATACGAGGCAGCATGGACTGGGCATAAGCTTTTCTTAAGTAGGAACCATATGTCTTAAAGAAGAGCATTCAGCAGATACACAGCATGTTACCAGGCAATAACTTGCTTATTCTACTCAGTACACGAGGGGTCAAATACAACCAATAAATCAGGAAACTTGAGCTTTCATTCTGGTCATTTTTAGAGTTTACTGAACAAGTGTTTGGTTAAGGATTGAGGATAAGCTCTCTGAACATATTGTTTGAATAATGGGCTGTGCACTGGAGAGGAATCTGGCAGATGACCACCTTACCATTGGTTTTAGTTGTCTAAGAATTGGACTTCCAAATTCAGCTATCTGAATGCATCACCACTGTTTATCCAAACAGCCATTTGTTTGTGCTCTCTTCACTTCTAATCTAAACTCTTCCTTTTGGGTGCAGTTCAAAGCTACAGGCACAGTTTAGGCTGTGTTTGTATACTAACCCTGGCTTTGAGTCCTGTGTTTTGGTATTGTACCCTGCTGCTGGTTTATTCCCAGCCAGGTGCAGGTCTTCACAAGGAAGAGGTGCCCAAGCATCACTGCTGCCCAGTGAAACCCCAGTCAAGTGCTGTTGCTTGTCTGGTCCCAGAGCCTTTCTCCTTCTCTCATTTGTTCCTAGAAGGCATTTTCTGAGATCAGCTTAATGGTAGTACTGCTAGGAATTATCTTTCTCCCCCCCCCCCCCC